TCCATTGGCCGGATACCATCAGCAACAGCCTTTTGTGGGAGAGAACCAACCAGCTTCCAGCTGAAGAGGAAATTAGGAAAAGACGATGGAAATGGATAGGACATACATTGAGGAAATCATCAAACTGCATTACGAGACAAGTGCTAACTTGGAATCCTGAAGGGAAGCGGGAAAGAGGAAGGCCAAAGAACACATTACGTCGGGAAATAGAAGCGGATATGAAAGGGATGAATAAGAACAGGAAAGGATTGCCCAGGACAGGGTTGGATGGAGAATGCTGGTAAGCGGCCTATGCTCCTTCACGAGGAGTAACAGGCGAAAGTAAGTAAATATGAATTCAAGAGCTGTTCAACAAATCAAGTGACTTAATAGGACGGTTACAATGATTCCCATCTACATGAAGCCCGTTCAAGTAAAACTCTCATACATCAGAACGAAACGAAGTTTCATCAGTAATAGCAGCGCTAAAGAAATGGAGTGATGCAGATTTGTAGCTGAGGGAGATTATTTTTGTTCTCTGAGCTATATGCTTTAATCGTGAAACATTATTTCTCTGAACGCCATTAAGACAGGTTTTCATTTTAAGTGGAAATGTTTGAATACCTTACTTCTCCCTGGAGTTCGTACTGATGTTGTTCAAGAAAACAACAAAAACTTTAGAATGAAGCTACTCAGCTTACAGAACGAAACTTCAACAAAAATGAATGAAGTCATTGAGTAAAGTGACAATCCATGTGCGTATATAGAACTTATCGAGTCGTGATAACAACTTTAGGAGAATTTTGTTATGAAATTCGTAAACGATTGGTGGTCAGGTCATACTGTATAGTCAGTTCAAACGAATCAATGTGAAAATATAAATCGATCATTTCTAAGTTTATCGGATTAGTATTTTTTTTGTTAAACTTGCAACCCTTCTGATGTTAGGAACGATTACCATTTAAATTTTTTTAGAAACGAACTGCATTTAACCTTTTCTCTTGACTCGCCCAACCTAGAGCCCAATAAATCAATAACCATCGTAGTTTGACGAATGTAAATACAGTCCTCCCCTTTCGACTTTTATAGGTTAAATCTACCTTATTTAAATATTACTATTATTATAAATATTTGAACTCATCCTATTTAACTATTTATTATTGAGCATATATCACTTCACACACTAGTTAGCTGTAGATCAAATATTTGATCTTATTTCTAATTACATTGTTTCTCTCATATTGTTCACTGCAATTATTCTGATTATTAATTTCACTATTTCATTTGCTATATCAAGTTAATATTGTATAATAGTCATTTCAGCATTAATAATTCTCGATAATGCAATGATAAGACAAAGTTTATCAGAATTATGTGATAATATATATTCGCGTAATACATTTTGAAACCAATCTGACCATACATAATTTTTCAAGACATTTTTATATGAAAATTAAAAGGTCATTTTATGCAGACCAACTTGTCATTATTGAAAAGACAAGGTTTATGTTTCACCGAAAACCCTAACAGCACGTAAACGATTGTGTTACATCCCATTGTGTTTATCAATTTACATGTATGTGTGGAAACACGTAGATAAGGTGGACTGAACAAATACCTAAATAGCTGCAGAAACAAATGAATTCCTATGATCAAATAAGATCACATGATAAACAACTATTTTCCTAAATTGTAAAATATTTGGTTGAGACTGGTCATAAGGTTGATATCAAGTCAGACTTTGTCGTTTTGTACAAAATCCTCCAGGGAAGTATACTAGGGTTAAATGAAGCTTTGGCTATGCAGGAAAATGAAACCCACTTTATATTTTCAAAAACAATTTGTCCTTACACTTAACCTACCCCGGTAATACTGATTTATTATCCAGAGTAGTCATCACATTGTTTTTGTGTACATCATCATTATTTTCTTGTTACGACTTATCTTTAACCTGTCTAGTTGACTTTTTATTTTTCATATAAACATGTCTCAATAAGTACAACATTATGCGTGATTAGATTGGTTTCGAAATGTATTGCGCAAATATATCATCAGATTGTTCTAATAAACTTCGTCTTCTCATTACATTATCGAAATTTATTCAAGGGACCAAATGTTTTAAATTTATAATTTTACTTTAGAAACAATCCTAAGAATTATGTATAAATTTTTAATTTGTCCATTCTTTTCGAACTATCAATATAACAGTAAAAAGTCATCTGAGAAGTTTATTTTAAAACAGCATTTTCCATTTGTGTCCATGTATTCATATAATGAGAATTTTTTTTTTTTAAGGAATTAGATAACCAATCTATAGAGCCAACAAAAATACCATTTACGTGTCCGGAATTATAAGGCAATGGTTTACAATTAGTAACCGTTTGCAATAACTTATAGCTATATTTCAATTGATAGTATGGAAAAAATTGCTTCTTTGAGAGTGAAATATTTCCAAAAAAGATCAAAAGGCTAAACAATAAAGAAATTTATCTAATATTTAGAGAACTACATACAAAAACTTGAAAAACGAACAAAAGGAAAAAAAAGAAAACAGAAGACGACAAAAATGTTTACAAATAAGGAATAAAAGAAACCAGATATGACAACTGCCAAATGTCAGAACAGCAGCATATTTGAAAATAAATGATTCAAGAAGCAGAAAGAAAAACAGACGAAGAACAACCAAATATGCAAACATACAATTTTTCGCAGAATATAGTTGAACATACAGACATACACATACACACACACACACAACGTTCAAACACAAGTATGCAGACATCAGAACACAAACTTTCACAACCAAATATCCATATAGAATACTCAGATTATTGGATGCAAAATAAAAACACAGAGGTGAAAACAAACATTTTTCAGCGAACTTGCCACAATGACAGTCGTGGGCATTTCAACCTGAAATCAAATAGAAAGTCACGTTATTTTAGTTGAAAAAATTTTTAAGTGAATTCAATCAGCTAAAATCTAGTAAACTGAAATACGTTATTTTACGAAACAATAGCAACTAAAAAGTGTCTAGATCTAAACAAGTTATTTATTTCTGAGACTAAGAAGCGATTTGGTCATTTGCAGAATTTTTGAAAATCGTTCAGTTCTATAAATAAAACACATTCACCGAGAGGAAATTTTTGCATCTGACCGAGTCATATCATCTTTGACGGTTAGTGGTACAATCCGGAATTTAAACAGCAGTAAACGAAGTTGGGTTTTGTATTTGTAACCTACTTGTTGGAAAAGGCGTTGTTAATAAAGTTTTAAAATTGACTGATCACTGTACATCTTAAAATGAGTGAATATTAAGGATTATGTTATATAGCCTAGGTAAATTTGGAATATAATCAATCTATTATATTTACTTTACAAAATGTGATAGAATGCTTCACTTATAAGCAAGCACATTTAATCCAAATTTAATTGTGTCCCCAGTGTTGTTTGAATTGAACTAAGCATTTCTGAATTTTTTTTCGTTTAACTAAGTAATATAAACTGGAAATTTAAAACTTTTTGTAAACATTTTTCTCTCTTATTAACATAGGAATGATTAGGTATTATTATTCAACTTTCTTTCAAAATTTAAATAAGTGGATATGATAACTTAGGTGTAATAATGCCATCAATGTATTCAAACACTTAACTTTTCTACTAAACTTTGTATTTTCATATTTTTCGTCAGATTTAGTAAGTTACTTTAACAAAGTTCTGTAGATCAGGAAGCTACAAAAATTGTTGCACGTACATAATCATATGTAAATTTAAGGTATTTATTTCCTGTGTTTTTACTCGAATACAAAAAAAATTATCATTTGATGCTCCATAATTCATGTGATCTGATAAAACTTGTCAAACTTACGTGTGTGAGAAATGACCAGAGAATTTCACTAACAACTTTTTTAAGATTTAAAAAATATTCAACTACTTGATGTGCTGAGTTAAGAGAATCCTGAGTTCCCAAAATAGGTGAACTTGAAATATAACAATTTATACATTTGCAATACATGTAATGATAAAAAAAAAACAATACCCATGAAAAAGTACTGGATACTTTGTCATCATTCATACATATTTTAACAAATAAATACATGATAAAACGATGAAACTTGCCTATATTGGTTATAAGGAAACATTTGAACATTTGTGAAGAATTTTCAGTTCAAGGGAAATGATGAAAATGGTGGTAATGACTGAGACTTCAGGTTTTCTTCCCCACGCAAAAACAGGTAAAAACCGTTAATCTGAAATCATTGTAAGTAATATACACCAAAACCCGAACACAAAGTAACAAATTAAACGCAATACAATGTGGATTCACAAGACAATAATTCTTTGTGTGAGGGAGGTTACTTAGTGAACCTTCAGTAAGCTATTCAACAAAAATTATCAGTCAAATGAGAAGAAACTATACTAGGCAAGACTAACAGATTGGATATTCGTAAACTTCAGCAACGCGACAAATAATACTTCGTAGTGGCGTAATGAAATTGAGACAATTACGTTAACTTTCAATATAGATAAAACAATAAAATCGTTCATCATCTAATTAAATTACCCTGATTACCTATAATATTATTTGTAAACGTTCGACTATTCATGCAATTGAATAAACAGTAATAAACATTACGATTAAGATTATTAAACGTCAAAAATGCTTTTAAACTTACCGAATATAATAATAGACCACCGAGTAAATACAAACTTGCAGATATGAAACAAACGTCAGTTTAAATGCACATAAGTGAGGATAGTGATTATGGTAGGTATTACCAACCAAAAAGTAAACTAAGGCAATCCAACAGATTTGAACATCAAACAACTGAAATTAATACACGGATTATGTCTATATATATATATATATATATATATATATATATATATATATATATATATATATATATATATATATATAGACCATCGACACTGAAAAACGGAAATAAGTAATTACAAGGGATTAGTGAAAGTTTGCGTGTTTTTCTGAGAACAAGAAGCAGTAGTTTTTGTGGTAATGGTTACTGGGCAGATGAAGTAAAAACAACAGGTCGTGAATTTTCCGAAGATATACGGGCACGCTTCCTAAAATCTTCCGAACCATGCAATTGTGAGTCAGCATTACTCCTAGAATTTGGATGATTATCGGAGGAAAGTTCAAGGCTGGAATCAACCAATCCAACACGTTTTGATGTAAGTCTACCAGTAGAATCGACTGTATTGAGTGTATTATTGCACAAGGAATGATCTGAAGACAATAAAGGTGTATCCTTCATGGGATCCTGAGATAAAAGTATTAAACAAGGAAAATTTTGCATTGAACTTAAATTTTAAGCATAAAAAATCCTCACATATAACACGCACTTATTTTCTAAATTTTAAGATGTTATTTTATAAGTTTGTAACTCTTAGATCACTAGTATTAATCGTTAAGATCAGAAGGATTTTTAATAAACTATTAAAATTACAAATGATACGATTACGGGACTAGTTTACGGAAATGAAAAGCGACAATATATCTGTAATTTTGATCCCAATTAAATGTTACAGACCAAATAATACCATTTTTGTGATAACAAGCACCATAAGGTAAAGTTTTAAGGATTACAGAAAAACAATCAAATCATTTACGAACATATATACGATTTTTGAGGTGGTCATAATGAATAACCTACATGTTTGTGATTATCTAAGGTAAGTGATGATTCATTTAGTTGAATGTCGGATGCTACAGCACCACATACCCCAGAGGATATTAATTTCGGAGATGGAGGAGGACATTTTGGTGATGAGTTTATGGTAGCCATGTTGGTCAGAGAACTTGTAGAAATGGAATTATGAAGACTATTTGCAGGGGACGAGACTTCCTCAGATCCAGAGAGTTCAACACTGCTGGCTGGACTGGATATTGAGTTCAATGCGTTTCTGTTCGAAAGTAAACGGCCACTTTTTAGATTTTCAGTAGGATTATTTACATTTGATAAAGCGGCAGAAGCAGCTTGACGTTTAATTTCATCCATATCTTCTGCAGAAATGAACTGAGCTAACTGTGACCTAAAAATAAGATACTGTGGAGTATTATGGACAAAAATCATACGACAATATTTCAGTGGTTTGATGGGTCAGTTAGCTAAAAGTAATCTAGCTCGAACTTGACAATCAAGACTAAATCCACCAAGCAATAAGAATTCTCGGAAGAAATCTATCCTACAATACTTGTAACTACATTAGAGTCCCCTTCAAAGACTTGTAAGACTGACATTGAGATGGTGGTTCGAGGTAGTCGACAGGAAACCCTGGATGTAGGTTTCGTACTATTTGACACTCGTCAGCAAGGAGTACCTGTAGTCGTGAGGGGAGTGATGCTCCGTGACGAATTCGACCCAGTGTCACCCAGCTTCACAGTCAGAGATTACAGCTACACCTTGCTGACAAGTACCGAATAGCGTGAAACCTAAGTTCAGTGTTTCCTGTCGACTACCTCGAACCCATCTCATCTCAACATAGTGCACGTAATGTCGAGTCATCTACACTAGTGGCCACATTGCAATTTGGTTGACAGAATTGGATTTGCACTAAGAAGGATCTGACATTGATCACTACCCAGTGATGAATCACCTGTAAAGACTGACAAGTTTTAGTGATTAGGTTGACTAATATTTTAGGTAAAATCTGGGAGTTCGACGTAATCCTATCTCACTGGTCACAATCACTGATTCTCTCAACATATAAGAAAGGGTCAAAATCACCCTGTGACAACCATAGAGAGATTAGTTTGACTAACATAGCATGTAAAATAGTAGCCTCAACAATTATCGGGCACCTAATACTCGTGGACTGCAAACACGAGAAAATCAGGCTGGCTTCAGACTTGGTCGTAGCTGCATCGACCACATATTCACCATTCGTCAGATTCTAGAACACAGGCATACTTATCGACGTCCTACAATGGTGATCTTTCTTGTCTTAAAAGCAGCATTTGACTCTATAGACCACGAGATTCTGTGACAGTGTCTGTCATTGAAAGGTGTACCTCACAAGTGCATAAACCTCGTGAGGGATCTTAACTTGAATATTACCAATCACGTCAGAGCTTATAGAGAACTGTCATATGATTTTGCAACCTCAAGGTGTCCAGCAAGGCTGTCCACTATCTCTATTTTTGTTCAATTTCATCATAGACATGCAAATGATGTACTTGATGTACGATTTTAACATTTTAGTAAAGCACTAAGTGATTCTGCAGTAAACAATATATCGATCTTCCCCACCTGAGTTCTCGTAAAGTGCAGTAGAAATGTTGAATATCAGGTGTAGGCTATGTACGATGTTTAACTTGCCGTGATACAAAATGTGTGCTATTCAAGATAACTAAAACTGTTTTTGTGAAAATTAAGCAGTTTATAGGCACTTCGTTTATGTAATAATTTTGAGTGAATTCAGTAAGCTAATGTAGAATTTATTGATAGACTGTGAGGATTGTGTGTATACCTAGTATATGACAAAGAACATTCGCTCCCGCTAAACTACGTTTTAATCTATAAATTAATATATGACCAAATACTTAACTGGTTGTTACACAATAGAACTAATATGATAATTAGTTCTAGAGCAAGTATTTCATGACCTGAACGATTTTGAATGAGTATACTAAATATTTTCTTACTGTCAGAATAACCAAAGGACTTACTTTTTGACATATTTAACGGTTACTGATAAGTCTTCACTTGAAAGACCACGTTCAATTGATTTTTCAAAAGAGCTGATATTCTCACTCAAGTCTACGTTCAGGGTAGGTTTATCAGTAGAGACATTTGAATTATGAACAGTACTGGTCAAAGAATTAGTATTGCGATCGAATTCCATCCCAATGAACCATTTACGAACAAAATTAGCATCATCATCATTAGGACCTTTTCCGTAGGCATGACAGTTTACATGTGCCATTTTGACATAACGGTTTACCTCGAAATTGCTAACAAGAACACGCAATCTGGATTCCACCAAACCACATAATTCGATGAAAGTGTGTTTAGTATTCCCAACGACGATGACAACAACATAGTGTCGATATTGAAAGAAAAAGGCGGCTTCAAATAGGTTTGACCAGGAACCCTTGTGCATCATTGAAGCCCTGACAACATTCAAACCTTTAGAAAGTAGAATACAGTACAAATTGAAACACTAACGTATCGAAAAAATGATAACTCACAGTGAAACTGACTGTACAAGTAAGAACTTAAGTTTAACAGCAGTTAAATAACCTTTGCCTGCTCTTACCAAAACACTTTGTCCTCAAACTAGTTATAATTTTTTGATAAAAATCATACACATTTAGCCTTGTTATTCGGGGAATAAACCTTCAAGCGTTGATTTACGGGACCTTTCGTGAACATTTTTATCGATCAACAGCTCAGTTAAAGTAGAATGACCTTAATTAAATCAAATTTGTTCACTACTAAATGTATTAGGAATTTCCCCGATATGTGAAACCAAAGAGTTTTAACATTATTTAGATGTAGGTTCGAAAATGATAATTCAAGATAATGGACTCCAAAATCTGAAGTTACACGTTGAAATTTCTCGTCGATTAGGTTGGAAAATGCCACTGATTTCTTATGAAAGAAATAACAAAAGTGCAAATTTAGTAGTTTCTACTTTATTCATCTCGGCATTGATACAAAATAAACCACGAAAATGACGTTATTTCCAAAAATTATAAAAACACGTGAAACTGCAGGGAGAATGATTAGCCCTGGTTGCGAACTTCAGCGAATCAATAAAGCGACTATCACTAATAGATGTTTACTAAGTCAGTCTGCAACGACGTAGAACTTTGTACGTACACACAACATTTCGAGTTGCCATACCACATTAGCACAGAGACACAATTGTCGACTCAAATCTCGTAGTGGCAGAGGTAGTAAAAGTATAAGCAACAATCGGAAACATTAAGGTTTGAAGATGTTATTCAAGGAGTATAATTCTGTGGAATAAATTTGGAAAGAGAAAAAATAAGGGACACGAAGTATTCAGAAGATTAGAATTTAGGAGAACACAAAGAGTGAATGCACCTGCGCCATTGCAAACGATTTTGAGCCATGTCATTCAAGATCTCTAACCGGTTGCTATCGTCTAGCGAATCACAACCAGGTAGTCTACACCTACTAACATGGCTCAGTCCACTTGTCAGCGACTTCATGGATTTGTGCCATGTTTTGGTCTGGTCGCACCTAGCTTTCTTCCAACCTACTCCTACACCATAAAATATCGCATGCCGGGGCAGTCGTTGGTTGGGCATACGTAACACGCGTCCCAGTTATCTCAACTGGTGAAGTTTCACTACTTCGTCAATTGATTTGCCATTCTTACCTAGTACCCTTTTCCTAACAACTGCACTACTTACTCGATGGTTCCAGGATATACGAGCAATGCTTTGAAGACATCTATGATCGAATACAAGTAACCTACGAATACAATTTACTCTTACCTGTCATGTTTCACTGCCACAAACTAGAACAGAACGAACTGTTGCACAGTAAACCCGTCCTTTGATTGGTAGATGGATATATCGCCTACGCCATAAATGACGCAAGTCGGCAAAAGCTAGTCGAGCCCTCTGTATCCGTGGTGAGATTTCGTCACACACCAGACAACAAGGGCTGGTGAGACTCCCAAGACAAGTGAAGCGGTCAATACGTTCAACTACTTCACCTCCTAACATTAGTTTGGCTGTCGATGCAACCCAATCCTGAAGCAACATTTTGCATTTCGAGGGGAAAAATCGCATCCCAAATATGCTTGCATTGTGGCCTACAATGGTCAGAACACTGAATTTTGTCAGCGTTTTCACCAAATAGAACTGTGTCATCCGCATATTCTAAGTCAACAAGTGAATCTCCCGGAAATTTAGATGAGGAAAGTGTTATCTGTAAAAGCACGTAAACGACGAAGTTAAACAAGAACGGAGAGTGGACAGTCCCGACGAACACCACTTGAGGTAATCATTCCTGATGACAGTTCGCCAACAGCTCTCACTCGACCAATTGTGTTCGAGTAGAGAGGCCAAAGGAGAAAATAACTCCCATATTTGAGATGACTAAGGCACTTTTAAATATTTGGTAAATATGGAGATTAAGATGAATTTTCGAACAATTTACCTTAAATACATACGACCAGAAATCGTATACACCGAGTTATTTTTAAGGACTGTTGACAAGAATAGTGCTTTTGGTAACTTTCACTGACAAACTAATCATAACCATTTCACACAAGACAGAGGATGAGTTAACAGACAATACAATTAATCATGAAGGGTACTGGAAGGTTTGTTATTTAATCTGGCCTATCATAAAACATAACCAAACACTTGGCTTCTAAAAATTAAGATACAAAAAACAAAATGCGATGAAACCTACCTTGTTTTAATTCCCTTTCAATAATAATGCGATTACTTCGCTGTACATTGTACGTTGAATTTTGGGATGGGTAACTTGGAGTCAATATAGGCATCAAGTGATATTGATCAGAAGGATTAAGCTGGTGTTAAAAATTAAATTATTTACCACACACAATGCTTGGTGATTGCGGTCATATTAATACAAAAAATTTTTAACTCGTTAATTCAGTGATATACAAAGATATATAAGCAAAAGCATGGTAAGATGAGGTACTCCAGAAATCGTGATTTATCGAAAAGTGAGAAATTAGATATATGGTCACAGCTCAAATCCCTGCTCCTGTTCGGCTATTGTTGACATTTGCCTTCGTGTTTCTCCTTCTTGCATCTTGCAAAGGAAACCTGCAGAGGTATATTGTTTATTTGGTGCTTGTTGGGGTCAAACAACTCTTGCCATTTTTAAGTTACTGCTTACTTAATGCCTTTTTAGTTGGTCAATAAAGTGATTTGCTCCTCTCCTAGATTGCGTAAGAACTAGAACTTGTTTCTAAGATCTACCTTGAACTCGCTGAGCTTGTTGGCATGTCGAAGGAATAATGTACTAAACACCGTACGCCCGTTTGTCTAACGATCCAAGTCTCTATAGCTTGATCACCACCAAGCGCTGACCTGAAGCGATATCAGCTCCCAGCCTAACACATCGTCCAGACATTCTGTATCCCTATGTTTATTGTTAACCTGGTTGTCAGAAGGGCCACTGATTTAGTGGCTTCCAAAGTCTCGGCTTTCAGTACGATGCGTCGTAACTCCCATAAACTTCCAGAGCAGAGTTTAACCCGTCTAATTGTTTGACGCTGGTTAGGGTATTGTTAACAACTTTATCATGAGATGGGGTTGCTAACCTTTTTCCCGAACCTCCTTTTTTAATAGGCCTGGGTGTTAGTTACTTCAGAGGTTCTGCAGGCTGAGTTTAGTATTGACTAGTCAGTGATACAGTAATTTGGCTTCAGAAATTATTTTTTCCCACTAAATAATGGATTTATAGTCTGGTAATAGTACTTCACGCCCAGCAACTACTGCAAATTCATGGTTTATTTAATATTGATGAAGGGAACACTAATATCCTTGCTCTTCAACTACTAGGTGTATATACATAGTCGTAATTAAAATCAGCTTTTGTCAGCTCTATCCAAAAGGTTGAAAGAAAAATCATATTTTGTTGAGATGTGTTCTACATGGCCGAATATCCACGGTCGTTTCCTTTACTTAATACGTATGAATACTGGTATAACCCAGTACCAAATTAATAGACACTGTTAGTTATTTCCATAACCATCCAATCAAATCTCAGCTTAAGCGCCCACCACATCAACCTGGTCTGATATGTCTGTAGGCTAACCCTGTTGCATATTACCTGTCAATTGAATGACATGATTATTCTATTATATCAGTGTTGAGGTGTGTGTTACTGACGTCAATAGATATAAGTAGTATGTATCATCAATCGAAAGTGAAATGCCTGGAAGCAGGTTAAGAAAATCAAAGAAAAGAGAGCGATAACAAAGAATGAATGCTGTAGAAATGAAGGAACAGTTAGGTCTGAGACAACTGATTGCAAATGAAATATTTATGTATGGTTCTCAGATTTTACTAACAGATTCTGTAGTTTTGTGATCAAATACATTCAATTGTACCCACTTGTGTTCTCGTTCACTACAGTGTGACTAAAACTCATAGTATTCATTTCGATAAGACACGCAACACTGGTCGGTATAAACAGGTAAAGTGTAAGGCCAAATTGTCCTTTCCCTGACTATAGGCTTTCACATAAACTCTGGGTTGGCAGTATCGCATTTACAGTTCCGGTAGAATCTCTATAGAACAAATTAAATCCTACAAAGTTTTGAACGGTAATCCGTTAGAAATTCATGCGCCGAGTGCTGTTAAATGTCTACGAAGGATCGTAAGAGTGATCAGATTTCTGAATTGTCTCCCCATTATACAGAAACTCATAGTGATGATAAGTTTGAAGGAAACAGCTACCGAATGCGTCACTTGTTAGAGTTGGAATTAGCTAAAATATGCTAAATTCAGACAGAGAAATTGAGCTGGAAAGGTTACATCAAAGAGGAAGAGAACATTATGGTCAAGTTGTGGTCGACAGGGTGATATCGTACGGGCCTACATCTGCTTTACGTGGGGTTGATGTTCCTCCTGGGAAGGACTGAATAACAATGATATCGAAAGCTTTAGAACTACGAAAGAGGGAGATCATAAGGTTTGATGATTATCTCACCAACTATTGGAGTTTCATACGGAATTTCGAGGAATGCTTCGATGAAAGTGTTGGATCCCGATCTAGGTTAAACTATTTGATTTAGTATTGTGATGGTGAAGCTAAGGCTACTATTCACTTGGTATTGTCTTTACTTGAATCTTCCCATTGATGTTTAGGATTGCAATTCATCAGTCTCTTGTTGGCATATGTGCATACTGCGCGTGTTGCATCGATATAGCGTTAATTCACAAGCATTACATGCAAACATTGATAGCAGCTAGCAGTGGAATCTAGGACGCGCGTCTCGTCCGATATGGGACTCCCGCTATACTTACAAAGAGTATGGGTGAAATTGGCATGTAAAGTTCTTGAGACGGGTAGAGAGCCTTTATTTGAGGACGCATGTGAATTTGTCGAAGAGTAATCGGATATTTCGAATACCAGATACCGACTACTTGTAAGTGGAGATCCCTATAATCGCAACCAAAGGCAGTCGGTTGTTGTTACGAAAAGAAACTTTGAATCAGAGTATAAAGTGAGTGTCGTTCTCTTGCACGAGTGGGCCTAATGTCCCTCCACACGTAAGACCAAGCACTCTTGGGTTGTTATGTTTATTATGTACCGAAAACCACCCCTAAGTCCAATATGGAAGGCTTAGAGATAAGGGTATAAATGAAGTTGTGTAATATCTGTCTGAAGGCGAACCACATAGCGAGAAACTGTCGAGCACCGTGGTCATATACCGTCGAAGAATGTAGCTGGAGACACTGCATCTTGTTACACAGGAAGCGGGAAGAACAGAGAGACAGTGATGGTAATGCCCACATTAATACCCAAATTTTTACTGAGGGAAGTGCTAGGTGTGTACAGACACAGGTAGCATTTGCAAGTGTCTGTATTGGTAAAAATAGAGAAAGGGATGTACAGACTTGGGTTTTCCTAGATAGCATCTCAAACGCCTAGCTTATTACAAAAGATGTAGCTAGAAGGCTGGGTTTAGAGGGAGAGTTCAAGACGCTCTTATTAAAACCGCTGGATATCTAGTCGACATTTCAGTGTAAAGAGGTTCAACTAGAAGTTTCCTCCTTAGACTCTTCTTCATTACTCATGATCCCAAAGGTATGAACGGTCAAGAGACTACCTATGTTACGTAGAACGGTGCCAACATCTCACATGACATTACGGTCTCACTTGCATGGTGTGACCATGCCAAGAGTTGAGAATAAGGACGTCAAGGTACTAATAGAGTGCAATTTACCTGAGGCACATGAGATAAGAGGGAAACCGGCTCATCCGCGACCAGAGATTGTACGAAGAATATGTTAATGTGATGACACAATACATTGAACGAGGCTACGCCAAAAAACTACAGGGAATTGCATTAGGTGTCGGGTTTGTTACTTACCACACCATCTATTCCCTCACCCAAAAACCTAAACAGCTAAAGATCGTATTGGACTGTGCGGTGCAATACGCCTGGACGTCCCTGAATAAAAACTTGTATTCCGGTCAAGATTTAGTCAATAACCTGGCGGATGTCTTCATCACATTTCGGCGAAGACCAATGGGTCTCACGGTATATATATATTCTCAGTTGAAGGAAATCTTACGTTTAGGGAGTTTTGGTTTGACCAAATGAGCCAGCGAAAATATTGAATTATTGAAGCTTATTCCAGAGGAAGACCTAATAGAAACGTAGACATCTGTTTATCTACGGAAAGGAACGAGAGGATTCGAGAAACACAGTGGAATGTTCGAACAGGTAAGATCACCTTCAGAGTGCGCGAATTCGATGCGCCCCTGCAAGGAAAATTATTTTGACATATGTAGCTTTTATGTTCAACCCAACTAGGTTTATAGCTCCAGTTGTTTTACCAGCTAAATTAATTTTGTAGGATACTTGTCGGCAAACTCTGGCATGGGACGCAGAGCCTTCCAGGGAGCTTATTACGAGATAGGAACTGTTACTTCCCAGATGTCTCGTACCAGAATCGTACAAACCACTGGCTACTCAGATTCCTTGCTTTGCCGATGCCTCAGAATTTGCATTCGATGTTGTGGCGTACGCTCGTTTTAAAGATGCCTGCCAACAAGTTCACATTTCCTTTTGATTGGCTAAGTCTAGGGTTGCCCCACTTAAACCTATAACCATCCCTAGAATGGAATTAGCAACACCGAAATAGGTGGGGCAAGGTTTAATGCTTTATCCACTAAGCCACTGTTTCACAGAATTCCTCTTTTCATGATATATATTGGGAATTTATTTAGATGTTTATTATGGGAAGATTTGAGTTGTCTAGCACAAAACTGACTGACCGAGCTATTTGTGAGAAATTATTGAACTAAGTGAAATACCGAAAACACTAATCAAAGAGCAGAAGCAGTTAAAAAGACCACAGAAACGATCCTGACGTTTACTTACTCTCGGATCCCAGACAGGTAAGCACAAACTTGCAATATACTCACACTCCCGCAACCTAACAGGTTTCGGCCAAGGCCATTGACTGAATATGGTAAAAAATAAATAGACGATCATGGATGGTGTAGCGTACGGATAAAGTTGGCAAATTCGAGAAACTAAAATTGCCCAAGACACGCCACCGAGGAACCCCAATGCATTTGAATAGACATTCCGACGCTTAGCCCAGATTCGTATAACCTTAAATAATGGTACAAAGGAATGTGCTATGTGACATGATGAGTTACCTTTAAGGCTACTTTAAAAGAATTTTTATTGTACACAAGATTGAGAATGTCTTCTGTAACACGAACACCATTAATACTGCGCACATCTCGTTCATCCATATTTCGCATGAGCACCTCTGTGTTTTCACAAAGACTGAAGTTTTCCGGTATAGACATTTGATCAATTTGAGCAAATAAAAGGTCGATCTATAGAAAGAAATTTATTGCGTATTATGTGACGCAGAGGTATCACATACTTCAACTCCCATAAATTTCATTTTAAGTACAGGAACAAAGGCATCCACAACAGCGTGTAAATCTTCCACATTAGAATTTTCCGCTAATACAGTCTGAAAATCACTGAAAAACTCCTCGCGTGTTATAAACCGTGGGACAACCAGTAAAGAATCAATATCGGCACCCCTGAAATTGACACCTAAACGATATGAACCAAAAGTGAAAATTTTCCCAGTTGTAGAATTAGCGACATGTGCGGGGAGATTTTGTTCCAATGCTTTTTGACGAATCCATGCATTTGAAATTTCCTGCAACCTAACGAGAGCTTCACGTCTCTGTGATATCTCCTCTTGAGTTTCAAAAATATTAAGTTGAGCAAGGCTAGCCTCTAGTTCTTGTGTATCTCTAAAATCTTGTTCCGTAGGTTTCTTGAAGCTGAGAGCTCCTGTTTCACCAAGACATCTAGCTGGTATTTCCTCACCAACATTCATCTACAAAGAAAACCGAAACTACACAAATTAAATGCACATTCATAAATCAATAGAATAAATGACATGTTCAGTATATGATTAAATATACCTACGAGGTCAAAACTGACAAAAACCCCAAGTCCACACTTGGTGTTTGCAGTGATCTGCTAGAATTGGTCGTGTTTATTTCAATAACTGTGCGTGCTAGTGGTGACATGACTGACAAGATTAATTGACACGCAGTGAAAACCAGAGTGACTTACGTTAGTTTCATTTTAGTCTGTATGTAAAAGGTTGGGTTTACAATGCGTTGGCGAGACCTATTTTGCTCTATAATCGTAAAACGTGGCCTAAAAATCAGGAATGTTTGATAACTTCGTGTTCCATCGTCGTTGTTTTCAGAGGGTTGTTGGGATCCAGTAGCAACACCACGTTAGTAATACTGGTGTTCGGGAATGCGTATTTAGGCAATCCCACCATTTTAATACACCGGAGTCGGTAACTTAGATGTGTTACGAATGCAGAGTGGGAAAATAGGAAATACTTTGTGACATGACACAGTAGTATAAGTAGATCTCCTGGTAGATCAATTTCTGAAAATTCTGTCGAGTGTCATTTCCAACAGTAGGTCTATGATGAAGTTGAACAAAATTAGAGATAGTGGACAGCCTTGCTGGACACCTTGAGGTTGCAAAATCATATGACAGTTCTCTATAAGCTCTGACGTGATTGGTAATATTCAAGTTAAGATCCCTCACGAGGTTTATGCACTTGTGAGGTACACCTTTCAATGACAGACACTGTCACAGAATCTCGTGGTCTATAGAGTCAAATGCTGCTTTTAAGACAAGAAAGATCACCATTGTAGGACGTCGATAAGTATGCCTGTGTTCTAGAATCTGACGAATGGTGAATATGTGGTCGATGCAGCTACGACCAAGTCTGAAGCCAGCCTGATTTTCTCGTGTTTGCAGTCCACGAGTATTAGGTGCCCGATAATTGTTGAGGCTACTATTTTACATGCTATGTTAGTCAAACTAATCTCTCTATGGTTGTCACAGGGTGATTTTGACCCTTTCTTATATGTTGAGAGAATCAGTGATTGTGACCAGTGAGATAGGATTACGTCGAACTCCCAGATTTTACCTAAAATATTAGTCAACCTAATCACTAAAACTTGTCAGTCTTTACAGGTGATTCATCACTGGGTAGTGATCAATGTCAGATCCTTCTTAGTGCAAATCCAATTCTGTCAACCAAATTGCAATGTGGCCACTAGTGTAGATGACTCGACATTACGTGCACTATGTTGAGATGAGATGGGTTCGAGGTAGTCGACAGGAAACACTGAACTTAGGTTTCACGCTATTCGGTACTTGTCAGCAAGGTGTAGCTGTAATCTCTGACTGTGAAGCTGGGTGACACTGGGTCGAATTCGTCACGGAGCATCACTCCCCTCACGACTACAGGTACTCCTTGCTGACGAGTGTCAAATAGTACGAAACCTACATCCAGGGTTTCCTGTCGACTACCTCGAACCACCATCTCAATGTCAGTCTTACAAGTCTTTGAAGGGGACTCTAATGTAGTTACAAGTATTGTAGGATAGATTTCTTCCGAGAATTCTTATTGCTTGGTGGATTTAGTCTTGATTGTCAAGTTCGAGCTAGATTACTTTTAGCTAACTGACCCATCAAACCACTGAAATATTGTCGTATGATTTTTGTCCATAATACTCCACAGTATCTTATTTTTAGGTCACAGTTAGCTCAGTTCATTTCTGCAGAAGATATGGATGAAATTAAACGTCAAGCTGCTTCTGCCGCTTTATCAAATGTAAATAATCCTACTGAAAATCTAAAAAGTGGCCGTTTACTTCCGAAGCCTGATTTTCTGGTGTTTGCAATCCACGAGTATTAGGTGCCCGATAATTGTTGAGGCTACTATTTTACATGCTATGTTAGTCAAACTAATCTCTCTATGGTTGTCACAGGGTGATTTTGACCCTTTCTTATATGTTGAGAGAATCAGTGATTGTGACCAGTGAGATAGGATTACGTCGAACTCCCAGATTTTACCTAAAATATTGGTCAACCTAATCGCTAAAATTGGACCATCACTAAAGACCTCTGCAGCCAATCTATCTGGATCAGTTGCTCTTCCTCGTTTCACACTAACTATAGCCTTTTGAACTGTAGGTAGAGTTGGGGGACCTACCTCAATGTTTCATTCACACCGTCTGAAAATGATGGGTAGTCGTAGAGTATCTGAAGGCCAGCTCCTTGGAATGTTCGGCCCATCGTTCTAAACGTCTGGACTAGGAGCAGAAAAGTGTCGTCTTCTTCCGAGATAGTCTCACATTTGACTTATTATTTCCAGTTTCTTTCATTAGTCTGTGGAGCTGTCTTATGTTAAATACAGCCACCGCCTTTTCCATCTCTTTTGCTTTTTCCCCACTACTGCTCACGGTCGTTCCTTAGACTTTTACTTATTCTTTATTTTAACACATAGATATTGGTACAAGGAGGCACCAAATACGTATGCGCCACACATATCTCATTGGATATGTGTGAGGGCTGTGATACTGTCCGGGTGCCCAAACCGAAGCAGGTGGTTATCTTAGGGGGCCACACCCCAAGCCTTCGACCTGAACGTCTGACCCACAAGGCAGTGGAGCATCGTAAGGAGATGCAGTCCCATGGTAGCCGGTGACCAACGATTGGTTCATACGCCATTTGTTCCTTCAGGATACTGGAGCCCATGTGCACCATTGATTTTGTATCCGGTTAAAGCGCTGGACATTCGCTTTTCGTCCTCTCATTTTCGTAAACAACACCCCCGCCACGTGAAGGCAATGAGTAGAACTTCCATGGCAGAGGCTATATACGTGTGGCCATGTGAGAGCACTTCGAGAGGGAGAGCGGACTCTCTTCACTCTCGGCCGTACCAGGGCATTTGGGGGCTTAACCTAGATCTGATTTATTTTTGCTTTTCATCGAGTTTAGAGCCTGATGAGATGAGTTTATGAGAATGCATCAGTACAATATACCTTGAAAAAATCCATTGGCTCTCTGTAACCATTTGGTTTAGATCACTAACAGATATCACTGCTGTTTGTATATCTTTCCAAGCAACGTCTGGGTCAGCCTCGTTTTCAGAACTACCTAAGTGTGACCTCAGTTGCTCCTGGAACCTACTTTCGATTTTCTCATTAGTCAATTAAACTCTAATAGGTCTTCTGAGTATGCTTTTTCTGCGTCCAGTGAGGCGCAAGCAGATGCGTGTCCGTATTAGAGCATGTTCAGAGTCCAAGCAGGTATTCCAGAATGAGCGACAATCTTCTATCGAGCCTCTCCAACGATGACTGATTGCAATATGGTATATTTGAGTCCATTTCTTCAGAAAGCTTTCTGTAAAAGTCTTTCACTTCATCCGGGCTGCAGTCAGTGGGAGCGTAGGCAGAAACGAGTTTTTACGGAGCTGTTTAGCCGAATAGCACATAGACGACTGTTAACTGGGATCCACTCTAATAGTTTGTTCCGCCCCCGTACTTACTGCTATTCATACACCTGTCATTTCACTGGATTATACTCCTTGAATAACTTCTTCAAACCTTAATGTTTCCGATTACTGCTTATACTCTTACTACCTCTACCATTACGGGATATGAGTCGACAATTGCATCTCTGTGCTAATGTGGTATGGCAACTTGAAATGATGTACGTACGTACGAAGTTCTACGTTGTTACTGACTGGCTGGACCACGAGAACTAGCCATCGGGCCGCCAGATACACGGAGGGTGTCTCGTCGGCTCTCCGTCATGCTGAGGTGAGGTCAAGTGGATGACCACACTAGGACCCTGCATGTGTGTTTCGGAGACAGTGTACACCAATGGTACGAGATTCCGGGGCTTGTTGGCCGATTTAATATAGGGTGCGTACGTTGAAGGCTCTTTGTATTTTGGAGTAAGGTTTCAGTAGGCCTGGGAGCGTTTTCCGCACTAGAATCGTGGGCTACGATGACACTTGAGGAGGAAGCCAAAAGAGGAAGTTTGAAGTTGAAAGTCAATGCAGAAGCAATAATAAGAACTGAAGAGGGAGGTTGATTATGGATAGTGGTCTTGAGTGCTGTTAGAGATATGAGGGTGGTTATCATTTACCGGTTGCCCAAACCGTGGTAGGGTTCTTCTAGAGGTACCTGAAAATGAAATTGAATTAAAGGTGGTTTTGGTGGCCTGAGAGCGTGACCGCAGTGCCCAAGGGACAACTGCTTGAGGTCGGTCACACACGACCTCTTTGTGGGTAATTTTTGTGTTTGCTCTGTACTTGCTGAGACCTTACCGCCGGAGACGGATATACGTGGGATAAGGCTAGATGTGTATTTTTAGGGTCGACATTCTCTAACCCCACCGCTCCTTGTGAAAAGACAGCATCGCTGTTATGCTGGGTGTCTGAAGGGAATACCTTACTGCCGTCACACCTCTGTACAGTCAGCAACACGACTTCGGTTTGGTGCTTTTAGTCTTAGCTCTCTTCAACCGACCTGTCCGACATGGTAGGACTTTGAGGGACAATTGTTCCAGACAATATGGCTCGATTGGTTTCTCACGATAGGCAAGCCCGACCACCACTTCGAAGTAGCAACAAAGGTCGGGAGCAGTTGAGCACCACTTCCTCATGAAAATAATGCTTTTAAGTGGAAACTCGGAGGGATATGTTTACTTTTGTCTGTAGTCATGGTTTTAAAAGCTAGTGTCGGCATGAAAATGGTTGAAATTCACATCATATTGCCTCAAAGGCCATGGTTCTCCCCGCCAACTAGTTTACTGAGTGGATGTGACCATTAACTAGTAATGAAGATACTCAGTAGGTTTGAACCCAACTCTACCTTCTTCGATTTAGACAACCAGATAGTATCACTAGACCTTGAATAAAATACAGCTAGGAGCTGAACACATTCACTTTCCGCCTAATAAATGAGCTACACTTTTCTAATAAGTTGAATGAAATTTAGTGTAACA